AAAATATAATTTAGCTCTATACTCACACTGTGCTGCCCATAGTTTCAATTTAGCAGTTAGTGCCGCATGTAGTATCCCTCAAGTCAAAAACTGCCTTGGTACAGTCCAATCTATTTATAACTTCTTTAATACCCCAAAAAGGCAAATTGCACTTCAGGATGCAATAAAAAATAATGACACTTTGTTACAAAAAAAAAAAACTTAAAAAATATTGTGCAACAAGGTGGGTACTACAGAATGAGTCGATTGGAACTTATATAGATTTACAACCAGCAGTTATTGATGCCTTAGAAAATATTTCGAGTACTTGGACAGACTCAAAAACAACATCCGGATCTTTTCAATTACTATCAGCAATAAAAACATTAGAATTTCAAATTTCAATTCACGTTTTAAATTCAGTACATGCATTGTCTTTATCATTGAGTAGAGTTTTACAAGCGGAAAATCAAGATTTAGTCGAGGCCGTGAAGTTGGCAGATGCAGCAAAACACGAACTTGAGGAAAGAAGACAATATTATACAGATAATTTCAACACAATTTTTGTAACTGTAGAAGATATTTGCAATAAGTACAATATACCTGTGACTAAACCTAGACTTGCCTCACGTCAAATTAACCGTTCTAACATTATAACCGACTCTGTAAAAGATTATTACAAAATTATTATTTACATACCATACCTTGATTTATTTATTACTCATCTTCAAGATCTCTTCCTCAAGCATCGTAATTTTTTGTCAAACTTCTCATGTCTTTTTCCTATTGAAACAAAATCTTTAGACAAAGATTCATGTAAAAAGTTATTTGAAACTTATTGTTCAATTTTACACGACGATTCCCCAGAAATTTGGATAAATGAGGTAGAAATTTGGCGACGACGACAAGCTGGTAAAAATATTCGAAACGCCCTAGATGCCCTCGATATTTGTAATTCAGATGCGTTTCCAAATGTTCATAAAATGTTATGTGTAATGTCAGTTTTTCCGGTGACTACAGTGACTAATGAAAGGTCATTTTCAACATTACGTCGGCTTAAAACCTATTTAAGGTCATCTATGGGTGAAGATCGTTTAAACGGACTAGCTTCGTTGAATATCCATCGTGACATAAACGTGGATATCAACGAAGTATTAAACGAATTCTTTTCTACTCATCGTAGATTAAATTTATTAAAAAAATAATTTTTAATTTTATAGTTTTATCATGATTTATTTATATTATAAATATATAGTATATAANATTTATATTATAAATATATATTATATAATATTTGATAGTTATTGATTTATCTATTAAATTTATATTTTTTTTAAAAAACCCCCCCATTGTCAAATCCTGCGCACGGGTCTGACTTACAGTATTTGATTTCCATTAATAAAACAAATTTATATAATAAATATTACATAAAAACTTTAATTGTATATGTAATACAAACTAATCCTAGCTACTTCTTTAAAATTATTTATCAACGTCCTCCTTTGGTGGCGGTGATGGTGAGCGATTGGGCAATGATCTATATTGAACAAAAAACCATTCATAATTTTCTTTCTTAAAATTTTCACCACGAGAATTGCATGTCATCATGTTAATTAATACATTCTAAATATCTATGATAACAAATTTGATGTAATTTTTTAAACTGATAATCAAGTAAACAAATAATTATAATCTCTGAAATATTTTATTACAAAAGAATTATCAATTTAACTACGTAAAATAACCAAATAATATTATTTTTAAAGGGGATGGTTATAAAAAAATATTTTATTTTACAATTATAATTTTTAATTATCACTAAAAAATGATTTTAATATAAATCCTTAACAATTATGTCATTCCAAACATAATATAACAAGTGATTAAGATCAAGTTTTATACATATCACACAAGCTAATAAATTTCAGTAATTTACTGAATAATTTTATAGATCTATTAAAATTTATTTAGTTATTTCATCCTCATAAAGGTTTTAGGGTTTGCTATCGTCTTCTAAGCATTTCAAAATTATTTTCTTTAATAGATTGAAAGGTTACAAATATATAAAAATCAAATTAATTGGCCGCAACGAGAAATTTGTAACTTTCATGGCGTTTTACAAAATTATAAGTAAAGGGTCGCCAACCTACTGGGCGAGACAGTATATTGTCGGACCACAGTAGGATTTTTTTCTTTTTTTTTAAAAAAATTAACTTTTTTATATTAAAACAATTAGACAAAAAATATATAATTAATAAACATTAAAGTTGATGTCCGTTGAGTCGTTGATAGTAGATGTACACCAAAACCTCGTGACAGTTGTCACATAACCATATTAATGAGGGATGACCTTATACAAGGCCGTTGCCCGTACCTTATAAACTAGGGGAGTAGATTTTTGAAAGGAGAAAAAAAAATACACGAGTCCATTGAAGATGGAACACGCAAAAAAAAGAAAAAACAGATGATGGTTAAGTTAAATTAAGAGGACTTTATTAAGCAAAAAAAAAAAAACAAAAAAAATTAAGTTACTACGAGGCAAAAAACCGAATGGTCAAAAAACCTCGTCTACAAATTAAAGGGGACAAAGAAAGAGAGAGAAAAAAAAACAGATATTAATAAAAAAAAATTAGTTACACCTACACTTTTATTATTAGAGAATACGATGAACGTCTTCGGGTACCCGCCGGCTATTAATCGCAGCATTGCCGCTAAGCACGGCGGGTATACGTCCCAAGTAAGCGACTGGTTTCTGGCAGTTAGGCTTAGCTTGCAAGACGTTGGGACACCCCGGAATAAAATGCACTACGTCACCACATTGTACCAATAATATATNCAGTTCCGACTATGGCTATTCCCCGACAACCCGTCCGACGATTGACCCGGCGGTCCGTTGGCGACCAAACGGCTAGCCTTTAGAGTAGGGGTCAAAAAATAACTAAATACCCAGTGCCGGAAATTATTAAAAACAATTTAAATCATATGGCGACAATGTATGCGGTGAGCAGTGCAAATGACGTTCAAGATAGGAAAGGAGCGGGGTGAATGTACACACAAATGCCGTCCATGAACCGGTCTGAAGTAGTACACAGCTGACTATCTCGCACGCGCATAAACAAATCACAACACCTTATCATGATAATTTTACCAACAAACGCCGTCGCAGTCCGCATTCGGCTCAACACAAATATATATACATAAATGTATATACAAATAGAAAAAAAATAACTAGATACTTTTGTCACGTTACAAGATGCTTGCAATTCATCATCATTTAATCAACGATGATTTTGTGCTTGCCTGTATTTTCTATAGTACTTATATTATTTTCAGTGGATTTAGTTCCTTTTACAACACATTTAAGTTTAGTATAAATAGCACACCACATAAATCTGTGATAAAAAAAATAACTTTAACAAATAAATTGTATTATTTCACAAAATTTACTTTCTTCCTTTTCTTAAAGAATATAAAAATCCTATTTCATCTCTGTACAGTGTATATCCTTCCCATAAATTAGAAAGAACAGATACATTTACAATTTTAATTTTACTAGATACTTTAGCAGGTTCCATGTGGATAAGGAATAAGAATACTTCCACGGCCCCTTTGTCAGTCGTAAGAGGTATCTGGCAATTAGGTATGCGATGGAGATATGAATGGACATGTAGGTAATGAAAGAAGAGCATATAAAAGAGTACATGGAGGGTTTTGTTTTAGTGGGGAGAATGAGGCTGGAAAAAGAATCTGGATTTCGCAGTATCGTTTGATCTTGCTGTGGTTAATACTTATTTTAGAAAGAGGGAAGAACATTATATAAGAGTGGGAGGAATATATCACAGATACGATTTTTTTATGTGGATGAGTGAGAGTGTAAAGCAACTAAAAGATTGTAAATTTATACCTGGCGAGAGTGTAACTACACAACATAGACTGATGGTAATGAAGATGTGGTATACCGGAAAGAGAATAAACCAAAATAGAAAAAACATGGGGGAAAAATCGAAGATCCGGTGATGGAAATTAAAAGGGGAAAATGAAAAAGAGTTTGTAAAGACGGTAAAAGAGAGAACGGTGTGGAATGTCGAGGGAGACATAAATGATGTGTGGAGTAGATTTGCTAGTTGTGTAAAGAATACTGCAAAGGAGATTGTTGGTGAGAGTATATAAGATGTATAAAAAGTGTTGATAATAAGGTACTCTCGAGTGATGCTGATGTGGAAAGTATTTTGAAAAATTACTGAATGGAGTGTACCCAAAAGAGACATTAGAGGATATCTTGTGAAATGAGGGACTGGTATATTTAAGTAGTGAGAAAGAGGTATGGGAGGCTGTGGTATCAATGAAAAAGAATAAAGCAGTAGGACCAGATGAAGTGCCAGTAGAAGTATGGAAAATATTAGGCGGTGTTGGCCTAATGGTTGAAGGAACTTTAAAATAAAATCTTATTAGAAAGGATAAATACCAAATTAATGGAGGAGTAGTATTGTAGTGCCGATATTTAAAGGTAAAGGTGACATATAGGAGTGTGGAAATTGTAGAGGCATAAAGCTTATGAGTCATAGTATGAAAATTTGGGAAAAGGTAATAGATCAGAGAATAAGAAATGAGACATTGGTATCTAATAACCAGTTTGGATTTATGCCTGGTAAGTCAACAATGGAGCCAGTATTTTGTATGAGACAACTAATAGAAAAGTTTAGGGAAAAGAAGAAAAAGCTGTGTATGGTATTTATAGATTTGGAGAAAGCTTATGATAGAGTACCGAGAGAGGTTTTAAAGTGGGCATTAATGAGAAAAGGAGTCCCGAAAAGGTACCAGGGTGAAAAGCGTAGGAGGAATATCAGGAGGTTTTCGGGTAAGAGTAGGAGTGCACTAAGGTTCCGCTTTAAGTCCTTACTTATTCTATATAGTGATGGATGAAATTACTAGAGACATACAAGGAGAGGTGCCGTGGTGCATGTTGTTTGCTGACGATATAGTGTTAATAGGAGAAAATTAATCAAAGGCTAGAGGTGTGGAAATTAGCTCATGAAGAAAAGGGTTTAAGAATAAGTAGAAGTAAGACAGAGTATATAGAGTACGACATTGACAAAGGAGAACACGAGGTAGGTGAAATGAGGAGGTTAGTGACAATAGGCGAAGACGTGATTGGAGAGGTGGAGAGTTTTAAGTATTTAGGGTCAGTTGTGCAAAAGAGTGTTGGTATTGACGAGGATGTAAGACACAGAATTAAGTGCGGGTGGTTAAAGTGGAGAGAAGCGTCAGGCGTCTTATGCGATAAAAGAATTCCAATGAGGCTGAAAGGTAAATTCTTCAAGACTGTAGTGAGATCAACTATGACGTATGGTTTAGAAAGTTGGGCGGTTAATAAGAAAGTAGAGCAAAGAATGAATGTAGCAAAGATGAGAATGCTTAGATGGATGTGTTGAGTGACCAGAGAAGATAAGATAAGAAACGAGCATATAAGAGGGAGTATAGGTGTAGCATCTATCGTGGATAAGATGAGAGAAAATAGACTTAGATGGTTTGGTCATGTTATGAGAAGAGAAAAATCGGAAGCTGTAAGAACAGTTAGAGAAATGAATGTTGAAGGAAAAAGAGGTTGAGGAAGACCAAAAAAGAGATGGAGGGATGCTATTGAATGCAATATGAGTACAGCTGATATGAGCGTAGATGATGTGGGAGATCGTTTCAAGTGAAAGTTTAGGATTAGGTTGGCCGACCCCAAGTAGTTGGGATTAAGACGTGGAAGAAGAAAATGAAGATTTTCATACGAAAAATTGTTCATAGAAAAAAAAAAAATTGTAAAACTACTGGTTTTTTCGCTTAAATTAAAATAAAAAAATTATAACTATAATACTTCTTTATCTCTGTCACTTTTTCGGCATATTTAATGTCACATTTAAAATTTGTCTTTTGGTTATCTAGCTCTTTATAATCAACGTATTGAACTGTGACGAAATTTGAACCACTACTAGAAAACTTTGAAATTGATACTTTATTAAATATTGTTAGTGCCTACGGTGACATCATGAAGCAAAAATGTATCTATTTAAATGACGCAAATTGAAAAGCTTATACATGACATGTTATATAACATAATGACATAAAAAATTATTATTTTTTCTATAAAAAAAATCATGTGACATAAACTCTTCTAATAAATGTGTTAGGTTTAACATAATTTTATGCTAATTAATGT